TATATATATATATATATAACCAATGTATTTTCTGAAAGTTTTCATTTCAAACACTTACCATATCATACCATTATTGAAAAATATATTTTGTTATCTCCACTGTTCAGCAGAAATCACCTATGTGCTTAGTTCTTTGCCTGATGTTTCCCTTTTAAGTTAGTGAGCTAGTGAGTGAGTAGTGAGCTACTGTAATGTTGGCCTAGATTTATTTAGATGTGACTCACATTTGCTGCACCATATTTCTACTGTTGTAGTACAAAGATGTAGACTCTCCCTCTAGTCATTATTTGTCTATTACTGCAATCATTCAGAGATAAAATCTCAGCCACACAGGGAATGCATGGTTTTCAGTCACTCAGGCCTGGCTGGTAGACTTACTCTGAGAATGAAACGGCAGGGGGCCCATCCAGACAGTTTCACTGCACTACGGTGCGTTACCACATGGTGCAGAATTTTAACATGCATCACGGTTAAGCAAACCCATTCGTGATGGATGGGTCTGCCAATGTATTGCAAAGCAAGTTTTAATGGACCTACAGCATTTTTTGCCCAGTACAGCCAGAGGCGTCACCCGGTACGACCGCTGGGTGTCACCCGCTGGGATGACATCACGCACCCGCATGACATCCTTATGTATGCGGTCAGTCATCTCAGTGATGAACACCGGCACAGTGGGGAGGTTCATCCGGTTTAAGGTATACTGGGTCCCCTTCTCTCTCGTGCAGATGTTGGGCTCTTAGCCGTTGCGTGGCGCTATATCAATCCTGTATAATAATAATAATAATAATAATAATATACATTGTGGCACATTGAAACACACAAGCTTTGGAGTCCCATTCAGAATTCATAGCACCGCGGTCAGTTTAGTTTGTGTCTGTGCCTTGCAGGGCTGTAACGTTGTGACTAGAGCCTACAGCCCACCCAGGGCCGGATTTCCCACAAGGCCAACCAAGGCCCGGCCTTGGGGCAGCAGGGAGTAGAGGGGCAGCAGGGGTTTGGAATTCCTATCTCCCGATGCCCGGGACATGCAGTTCTGGGCGCCGGGCGGATAGTTGTTTTCTACATTTAGCCCGGCTTTGGGCAAGCAAAGCTAAATGTACAGCGAGGAAGCCGCCTCTTGTTTTGTACATGTGATCCCGGCGATGTCGCCGAGATCATTTGTATGCAGCCTGCAGGTCTCCCATTCTCCATGGGGGGGTTTGGCAGGTAGGGGGGCGCATTGAGGAACCTGGCCTTGGGGCAGCAGAGACAATAAATCCAGCCCTGAGCCCACCACCAAGCAGGAAGCAAAGCTTGCATATGTAATAAACAGATGTTTCTATTTACAATTCGAGACATTTTGTATGTTCAAAACATTATCACAGATCGATGGGCAAACGTTCCTCGTTTAGATCTATAAACACAGACCATAGAGCAGCTCCCCATCTCCTTGGTCACGTCTGCCTGTGCTGTCCCCTAGGCCGTAGCGCAGTGAGCGATTTTGGTATTTTCATTGCAGAAATCTTGTGGCTTTGATGATTCTTCTCCGTGTTGTGACATTTCCTGTTTGTGTATTTTTGTGTACTTTGCAGAAGTCTTTTATAGAATCCCGACTGTGCGTGTCTGTAACCGGCCCGGCGGTTCTCATTTTTTGCATTTTTTCTTTTTTTTTTTTTT